CTGGATAATTCTCTCATCAGGCAAGCCTGAGAAATATTGCAAGAAAGGATTAAAAAAAAAATGAACTAGACACAGCCCTTCTTCAGGTAACAGTGCAAAGTGGAAAGAAAATTGGTTGATTAAGATCTCATGGAGCACAATAGGGAAAGAATCATAGAATGATAGTAACAGTTGGCGTTTATCAGGTGCCTGCTAAGTATCAGGCATTGTGTCAAACACTTGACGGGTTTTATCTTATTTAATCCTCACAACATCCTTATGCAATAACGTTACCACCTGTAACTTACAAATGGGAAAGCTCAGCTTTGGTTACCATACTGCCCAGGGTCACACAGCTCCTGTGTACAGAGCTAGGTGGAAAGGAGGCAGGGGACTCTGTATACCATTCTCTAAATTGCTATCATGTTCCATGTCCCAGGGGACATGAGACTCAGAGATGTGAAAGGATTGTGACATCTTTACAAATGGCAGGAGTTTCATGCGAATGACAGGAGAAGGTGTTCAGGAAGGGATAGGGGCCCTGGGGAAGATACTGCATGAAGTACTGGAACCTGGCAGTGACTTCCAGTGTAAGCTCAACTCATTTTGTAAATGAGGAAAGGGAGCTCTAGAAATTTATGGGACTTGCCTGAGGCTTGATAGTAGCAAGAGGAGTAGAGATCCAGAACCCGAGCAGCTCCCTTTCCATTATGGACAGTTGGAGATCAAATTAGGATTGACCTTGGATCCCTTGCTAATGAGGACTGAGCTATTCTATAGATAATTTTAACTATTTTAAGTGTATCCATCTTCAGAACTTTTTCTTCACCTCAAACAGAAACTCTGTATCCACTAAACAATAACTTCCCATTCCTTCTCCCCTGCTACATAACATTCTACTTCCTGACTCTATGAATTTGCCTATTTACTTCATATATGTGGAATCATATAAATTTTTTTTGTGTTTGACTTATTTCACTTAACATGATGTTTTCGAGATTCACCCACATTGTAGCATGAATCAATTCTTCATTCCTCCCTTCCCCCCCCTTTTTTACTGTGGTGAAATACACATAATATTTACTATCTTAACTATTTTGCAGTGTAAAATTCAGTGAATTAAGCTCATTCACATTATTGTGCAACCATCACCACCATCCACTTCCAGGATTCTTTTCGTCTTGCAAAACTGAAACTCCGTACCCATTAAACAGTCACTCTGCCTTCCCTTAATCCTCTAGCCACTGGCAACCACCATTCCCCTTTCTGTGTCTTTGCTTTGGACTACTCTTGGTACCTCATGTAAGTAGAATTATACAGTATTTGTCTTTTTGTGACCAGCTTATTTCACTTAGCATGATGTCCTCAAGTTTCATCCATATTGTGTCATATGTCATAATTTCCTCCCTTTTGGAGGCTGACTTATATCCCATTGATTGAATGCATTTTGTTTACCCATTCATCTGCTGATGCATCCTTGGGTGGTTTCCACCTTTTTCCTATGGTGAATAATGCTGCTATGAACATAGTTGTACAAATAGTTCTTTGAGACCCTGCTTTCAACAATCCTGGGTGTGTATCTAGAAGTGAGATTGTTCATCCTACGATGATTCTATTTAACTTTTGAGGAACTGTCATACTGTCTTCCGCAGTGGCTGTCTCCTTTTACATTCCCACCATCAGCACACCAGGGTTCCAATGTCTCCACATCCTCACTAACGCTTATACTTCATTATTTTTTTTAAAGATGAAAAATATTCTCAGGTATGAATATACCACATTAAGAAAAAACGGTTCATCACTTGATAGACATTTGGGTTGTTTCCATCTTTTGGCTATTGTGAATAATACTGCTACGAGCACTGGTGTACAGGTTTCCGAGTTTCTTTCTTTCTTTTTTTAAGTGAAATTTCTGGATCATAGGGTAATTCTACATTTAATTGCTTGAGAAATCTAGACTTTTCAAGGAGATCCGTGCTCTGTTAAGTTGGCCCTGGTCATCCTAGCCTTCGGATCAGATGTGGGTGGGCGGGGGACTCCTCCCTCTTTCCAGCATCCACACGGTCCCCATGCCCTGACTTTATTGCTTTCAGGGGAGCAGTTCTCTGAGACTCTTTTACACAGAGGTGCAAGCTGCTGAGATGAAGCTGACCCGGGTGTGCAGCTGGGCTTGCCTGAGGAATCGAGGCTTAGGTCGGTCCCGGCGTCTGCTGCGAGGGCGGTGCTGTGGGCGAGAGGGGAGGCCCCTCCGGGTTCTTTGAAATCCCACCAGCTAAGCGGGCCGTGTCCGCCCTCTCTAGCGGCCGGAGCTGACCAGGTGAGCTCGTCCACAAGTCCTGTGCCCCGGGGCGGGCACAGCGGGCGGGTGGTACTCCTTGCTGGGTTGCGCGCTGAGCCCTGCTTCGAGCGCCAGCGCCCCCGATTCTGCCCGCGGCATCGTTCCGGACCCTGAGCGCTGGGAGCGCGCGCCGCTTGGGGCCCGGCTCCCTCCGGCGTGTCCTCGCCGCCAGCTGCCGCCTCTGCGTCCCCGCCACTCCGGCCCGGACCGGACTCCGGGGTCCGCAGCCGCGCGCCTGCCCAGCGACCCTAACGTGCCCAGCCCCGCCCTGCCTCCAGCTGCTACCTCCCCGGAGTCGGGACCCCAGTACGTCCGGGAGCCCTGCGGACTCGGCCCGAGCACGCCTCTCCTAATCAGCTGGCGGTGCCCAGGGCGCCCCGCGGCCACCGGGGGCGGGGACCGCCAGTGCGGGGCGGGCCCGAGCTAGGGGTGGTCCTGCCTCGGGGCCCGCGTTCCGAGGATCTGCGGCGGCGGCGGGAGCGCAACTCCAGCCGGAGTCGGGAGTGAGCCCGGAGAAGAGGAGGAAGAGAGGGGACCGGTCGGGTCCCTGCGGGCCTCTGGGAGCAGCGGTTCGTGTCCCCGGGCCGGGGAGAGAGCCGCGACCTCGTCCGCCCGCCGGAATGCCGCAGGTACCGAGCGCGCACTCGCGGAGAGATGCTCCGAGGACCCCTCGCGGCACCGGCGGCCGCCGGGTGCCGGGGCTTCTGAGCGCGGAGAAGGCTTTTCAACAGACTTGCTTTCGCGCTCATTTCCTCACGGGAGCCGGCCTCCCCGTTCCTCTGCCCTTGGAGTAGCCTCCGCGACTCCGTGGAAAAAGCTGGAATCCCCAGAGGGCTTCTCAGCCAGGGCTGCAGAGAGGCTTCCAGTGATCTGCAGGGTCTGGCCAGGGTCGAGCGCTGAAGGACAGGGCCCCAGCGCATCCTGGGTGGGAACGGAATGGGGTTGCTCTTTGAGGTAAGAACACAGGAGAAGAGATCGCAGGACAATTTCTCCCGGAGTTCTAAATCTCCCAACACCACCCCCTCCCGCCCCCACGCCCCAAGAAGTTTTTATTACTCTTTGCTTTTAAAACCTGACTGGGAGCCGTCCAGGTAGCATGCTTGGAGAGTACCCCTGGGGGGTGGGCGTGCCTCGGAGAGGGATGGGGACTGCCAGGGATGAGGACTGTCCCTCCAGAATTGCAGCTGTACCTGTGTGCCCCCCGGGACTTGGCCCCCTCTGACCTGTCAGCTCTCGGTTGTGCTCACACCTGACCGGGGCAAAGGGCAGGGACTGAGAGGGACAGAACTGATGGCTCAGAGGAAGGGGGAAATGTGAGGAAAATGGGGGTGAGGAGTTGGAGGAGAGAGGCCGGTGGTGGCTGGGTCTCATTGGGGAGCAGAGAGGTCCCCCAAAGACAGGCTCTGGAGATCTCACCACTGAGGAGTATGGGCAGCAGATTTTCCAGAGTACAGGGACAGCTAGGTGTCTCCCACACCCAGGAACCTCAGGCTTTCCATGCTTGCCTGCCCTCTCCAGTGTTCCCGACATTTGTGGTCCTCTCTGGACCCCAGCTCCCTTACATCCCAGTAACCTGGTCTGATGTTTACAGGCTTTGGGCAGGAATGGGACTGCAAAGAGAAGGCAGGGGTTCCTCTTGGTTTTGGGTCCCCGGCAGGGCAACTAACCCTCCTCTCACCCGCCCCCCAATATGTGCTAAGTGGTGCAGTCATCTGGGTCAGGATTCCCCTCCCCTTCCTTGTGGCTGACTGAGGAGGCCTGAGCACTCAATAGTAATTCTTTGCAGTCCTAGGGTGTAACACCCTTCCTCTCTAGGGAGCTCCGTGCTTTACAGATGTTATTGATCTGCTGTCTGGAGGATGTTGAAACCCTTGAGTGTTTAAGCTATTTACCACGGGACACACAACCAGTCAAGGAAGGATTTTGCTCCAGAGCCCACTTTCTAAGTCACTCAGGGATTTAGGCTGTGATTTCAACCCTGCAGCCTCTGCCTGGGGACCTGCCTTGGCAAATGCTGTGCCTGACTACTAGAGTCACAGCGGACTTGCATGTGGGGACAGGAAACCCAGGGAGAAGAGGGTAATGGGGCTGCTAGATAGGTTCTGGGATCTTAGAGCCATGTTCTGCCAGAGGAAGGGGACCAGCTCAGGGGAGTAGACAGGGTTGTCTCATATGCAGCTGATGGATGATAGAATAATTCCTTTGAAGCCACAGAATTGTACAATTTCACATAGACTAAGTTCAAGCTGTTAGGAGGGGGAGTAGAGTTTGGAGAAGGTCACTTTCATTCTCTTTAGCTTCCCCACACTCAGCTTTGATCCTTGAGCAAAATTGCAGCATTTCAGATCATCAGTGGAAATGAAGTAAACTGAACCAATATCCGGTTGTTTCTACAGCAGTGCAGTCTTCCCTGTATGAGTAGGTATGTGGTTTTCATTCATTTGTTTTCTTTCCCTGGTTCCTTTATTTCCACTCCGTCACTCAGTGTTCCTTCTGAGCAGGTGGCTACTGGGTCTGCTGGGGTTACAGGATGATTTTAAATTTGGCCAGTTCCACTCACATGTGTAGCCGACTATTTGTGTGTCTCTCAAAGGCTTAGAATGGAGCTCGGATGCTATACCCCAAGGACGCTGACAGATACACTCTGACTCATTAAAGGAGAGGTGAGTGTAAGCAGAGAGGGGAGAAGACATCAGCCGCCCACACGTCACCTTAGAGGAATTCTAAGCAGTGTTGTTTAGCGTACCACCTGGCCAGATGGAGATCACCACAGGGGTCATGGATGAGAATGCGGCCAACACCTCCACCGACTTCCTTTCTGTGCCTGCCTCCCATGGGGCCCAAGCTGCTCCGTTCCCATTCAACTTCAGCTACGGTGACTATGATACGCCTTTGGATGAAGATGAGGATGTGACCAATTCCCGTACTTTCTTTGCTGCCAAGATTGTCATTGGCATGGCCCTCGTGGGCATCATGCTTGTCTGTGGCATGGGCAACTTCATCTTCATTGCTGCTCTAGCCCGCTACAAGAAACTTCGCAACCTTACCAACCTGCTCATCGCCAACCTGGCCATCTCTGATTTCCTGGTGGCCATCGTCTGCTGCCCCTTTGAGATGGATTACTATGTGGTGCGCCAGCTGTCCTGGGAGCACGGCCATGTCATGTGCGCCTCTGTCAACTACCTACGTACTGTCTCTCTCTATGTCTCCACCAATGCCCTGCTGGCCATCGCCATCGACAGGTGAGTAAGGGGGCACAGAGACCATAGGAAAGGGGCATTGGAATTGTCCCTTCCTTTACAGCAGGTGTGGACTGATAAGAGAGATCTTTATTTCCCATCTGTGTGGATGCATGGCAGGGGAGGGTGGAGTTCGAATGTGGGCCCATTGACTGAATAGTAAGGAGTGTTTTAGTTTTCCAGCTGTGGGCAGACAGAGATAGGAGAGCTCCCTAGAGTTGAGCAGTGGGAAAGCTTTTGATCCCTCTGCTATGGACATGCTGTTAGACGTATCTGCTCAAGGTCTAGAGGTCCACAGGTAAGAGGAAGTGTGGAGGGACAAATTCAAGTTGCAGGCAGGTAACTCTTGAGTCAACTTGGAGAGCCTAAGGGAGATTTTCTGAAAATACAAGCACCCCTCCCCCAACCCAGCACCAGTTGATTTTAAAATAAGATTGATGATTTGTTTTAAACAAAATAGAAAAAAGAAAAAAAAAAAAAGAAAAGAAAGCAAAAAAGGTAACATACTTTTACATAACATACTTATACTTCTTTTTTTTGGTTACATTAATCAGTTTGCTCCTTTCCATACATTTGCATGCAACGCTATAGAAGACCTGCTTCCAGTGATGGGAAATCAAGGCAGTAAGAGCCGTCTATGCAAATCTTTCTTCTGTTGTGTTTGGTCTTCTCATTTAGGACAATCACTTGTGCTAAAGAACCAGGGTGGTTTTTGTTCCCACAGGACAATCTTTGCAAGCCCCTCTCCCCAAAGTTTACTCTCACTTACAAAGCACCTTAGTACAGTCCAGAGGGTCAGGGCCTCCGTGTACTCGTATCTGAACAGTCCGTCTCTCTCCCTGAACCCAGAGACCCTGGAGCCCAGACACCCTCCCAGTTTCGTGGGCTCTGGGGGAGTTTAGCCTACCCCTCGCCATCAGGACATCCCAGGGCAGTGTTCCGCGGAAGAGTACAGCAGATGGAACCTGTTTTCTGAATCCAAAGGCAGAACACCCAAAGATTGGATAACCTGGAAACAGGCCACTACCAGAACAGGGGCTCAAACCCTGTTCTCAAGAAGAAGCCTGGCTTTAAAAGCATTAAGCGTTGGGGTTTTGTCTCCCTTCTCCTGGAGGAACGGCAGGGAGTTCACTTCTTAAGCAGCCCCGGCTCTGTCACCTGTGGAAAGAAGGAGCTCAGAGTCGTCATCCCTGAAGAGGGCTATTTTGGCCACGGTCCTCCACAGGAATCCCGGAGCTTCTTGGCATTTCAGCCATCCAGGAGCAGACCCTGGGTGAATCAGGAAGGGGACAGTCAAGCCGAGTATCTGCCCCTTAGCCCCTTTCAGGGCTGTCAAGGAGGGACTCCAGGAACCTTGTCTCTGGCCTTTCTGAAAGCAGAGGCTGAAAGCATAGAGGGTCCTTTCCTGCAGTTTCACTCCAGGAGGACATCTTTGCAGACAACGTGCTCTCAGCCACTAGAAGTGGGTACGTTTGTGTCTGCTTTGGGGCAGGCTCCTGATCCCTGGACGAGATCCGTTTGAGGTTGTAGGGGCCCACTTGTCAGAAGGGGGTCACACTGCAGGAAGGAGTGGCTTCAAGGGCGCCAGAGGCCAGGATAAGTTAAGGGGCATCGGGTTATCCTGAACACATAAGACGTGATATCTGCGTCACCCAGTCCACCTCCTTCTACTGCGTTTTTTCATGTTCGTACCCTACTTTTATACCAGACTCCGCTGTCTGAAATCCTGCGGGCATTTCTCTTGCAGTGTGACTTTGTGTAATATAATTTAGATACAATAAGAAGAGAACATGCTTTGCTTCGTGGGACTGCTAGCGTTTACAGTGGGGTTGTGATTAGAGACTTGAAGCCAAACACTGGAGGAAAGTGCTGTTGCCTACACAGGCCGTCCAGGGGTCTTGGCCAATGAACTTGGCTGCTCCAAGGTGTGAAGTTCCTTTACTGATGTTTGTGATCTTTGCTTCGAGGTATTTGTATGTGTTTTTACCCTCCAGTTTCAGTTTCGTGGGACAGGACCTCATTGATTTTTGTGTGGCCATGTGTGTTGTTCAGGATTTGATCAGGGGTTTTCAGGTTCTATTTGGTTAATTTGGGGCAACTCACATGTATCTTGATATAACAAATACATTCCAGTTATAAAAATGCCTCTATTTTTGTTTCATGAAATCGGAGGAGTCGTGTTAGTGGTTATTCTGACAGGGGTCAAACCCCCACTGCTGTGGTGTTAGCAGCCAGCCCCATGAGAGTTCTTAAAGATCTCTCTGCCTCGCTTTTCTTATGGGTACAATGGGAGTAATAATAGACCTAAGGATTGGTTGCCTTGAAGATGAAAGGAAGTAATATATGTAATTGTTTGGAACAAGGCTTAAACTGGAGAAAGCAGCCAATTATCAGTGGATCTTATAATTCCTTAAATTATAAATCCTTATAAATATTATAAATCCTTATAATTATAAATTATAATTATAAATCCTTATAAATTATAAATTTATAAATCCTTAAATTTATAAATCCTTAAATTCCTTAAATTAACCCTTCCAGGAACAACAACGAAACAAACCCAAGTAAACTAATGAATGTTTTCTATTGAAGTGACTCGTTTTCATTGAAGTGATTGTTTTCAAAAGAAGATAACGCAAGGTTTCTAAGAAATGCAGCTGTGAAGCTGTAGTGGAACAGAAAGAACTGCTTACGTTCTAGCTCCTGTTTCTGTGGTTGGTCCCATGGTTCTCACAGACATCTACAGTAGCAAGGCTCCCTTGTCAGAGCTGCTTTCCGCCTTTCTCCAGCAAGCCTTTGGTTTGCAGGTCGGGTCAGTGCTCACCCTCCCCCACGTCCCCACTTACACCTGTTCACTTCGCCTAGGGCTCCTTCGCTCAGTGTCTCTTGGCTCAGCCTGGCTGCCACTGCTCCTCTCCTCACAGCCCTTGCTAAATGTTCATTCATTCAAACAATGCGTTGTTGTCCAGAAGCTATGATGTTACAGAGACCCGTCCAAGCACTGGGGATACGACAGTGCAGGAGAAAAAACAGCTCCTCGCTTTAGTGGGGCTTTTACCCAGAGGAGTGGAGACAGAGAACAATCAGGCAAATAAACAGAGGTAATTTCAGAAATGCTCTGAACAAAAAAGACAGACATTGAAAGTGACGGAGGATGGGAGCTGCTCCAGATACCTCGTCAGGAAAATGTCCCTGAGGAGAAGGCATTTGAAGGGAACGTTGAAAAAATAAATAAATAAATAAATAAAGCCAGTCTTGCGAAGATTGGGAAAACGCATTCCACACAAAGGACATTATTAGTGCAAAGGCCCCAAGACAGGAACAAACATGAAGGGTTCTAAGAACAGAGAAAAGGCTCCTGTGGCCTGAGGGAAGAAAGCCAGGCTGCAGTTAAATTAATCTTCCCTCTCCTACACATCTCCCCTCTCTTACTCAAAAGACCTTTACGAACTCCATTGTCTACAAAATATGGCTCAAATCCCTTCGCCTTTTATTATGATTATTGAGTCCCAGAGGGCCTCTCAGTCTCAGGCTAGGTAAACACATGGATGTCCCGTTTTCTAAAAGAGGTTGCAATCTTTTTGAGAACTGTCATGATGGCTTTTTACATCTCTATTCATTCAGTGCCAAACACTTGCTGAGAGTGAAGTTTTACCAAAGTCCTAGGTACCCAGAATTCACTGTCAGCAAAAAGTTACAAAAGAAGTAAGACTGAGCTCTGGAGGAGCTTACTGTCAGGGGGAGGGGTGGGGGCAGGTGAACTAACACTTAGTAAAAGTAAAGGATAAATTCTAAATGCAGTTTACAGAAGGGTGACATCATTGTGTATTAGAGTAGTCAAACGGGAGGAAGAGGACTTTTAAATGGCCTTCAACAAATGAGTCAGTAAAGGACAGGAGAGGTTTTCCACGAGGGTAGTGCATTTTTTGCAAAAGACGAGGTGGGAATGCTTGAGGTATGAGGTCCCTTGGGGAGGTCTGTGGGATCCTTGGGGGCAAGGAACAGAAGCAAAGTCGAGATCAGAAAGGATAGGGTCATATTCCAGAAGACCGAGGTATAGGTAGTCAGACCTGATGGAGCAGGAAGCTGAAAAAGATCATCAGAGGACTCTGTCCTCCAAGTTCTGGGTTCCCTACTGGATGTGGAGACACCTGCACTGGCCTTGATGTGTAATCCATAGATCCCAGAGCATATGGGGCACTGGGGAACTCTCCCTTCTTTAGCCAGAATCCCAGGGGAAAAGGCCAGCCAGCCTGCCCACTGACCTCCCTTCTCTTCTGTCTGCATGGGGCCAGCTAAGGCTTGAGTACCTGTGCTCAGTCTCAGGATGCACAGATGCTCCCCGGTGAGCTCACTGATGGGGCTGACTGGCCCAAAGAGCAGGTTCTGAATTCCCTGATGATCTCAGGAATGGCATAGAAGCTGCTGCGACCACCATTTCCATGGTTTGATCTGGGGGGTGGGGTCCTGGGTGGGGATAGAGGGAGCCCAAATACTCTTTGCTTAATCACTCAGCCTACATCACACAATCCCTGCCTGGATGTTTCTTTGTCCAGCAGCCTTCATTCTTTGTTCTCTGTGAAAGGTTGGCTCTAAGCGAATCTGAACCTGAGCCATTATATTGGTAGACACATAGGGCAAGCCAAGGGCATATGCATAAGAAGAGAAAAGTAGCTGCCAGTTGCCCAACTCCTTGGCACATCAATAGCTAAAAACTTGTGTTGGAGAGAAAAGAGAAAAAAAGGTGCTAAGATTCTGCTAGGATGCTAGGAGGGTAGGAAGAAGGAGTATTGCTTGCTCCAGTGGGAAAGGGAGGGGACAAGTGGCTTATTGGAGACCCAGATGGACTTGGGGCAAGATATGAATGGGTCTGCTTCATGGTTCTGTCGCTGTCTGGCTGTGTGGCCTTTGGCTGGTATTTAACTTCTCCGAATCTCAGTTTGCTCATCAGTGAAATGGTCATCTTCGTTCTCTTACCTATTCAATAGACTTGGGGATATGTAATAAGAAAGTGGACTTAAGAATGCTCTGTAATGGGGCACCTGCCTTCGGCTCAGGTCATGGTCTCAGGGTCCTGGGATCGAGCCCTGTGTCTGGCTCTCTGCTCAGCGGGGAGCCTGCTTCCCCCTCTCTCTCTGCCTGCCTCTCTGCCTACTTGTGATCTCTTTCTCTCTGTCAAGTAAATAAATAAATAAATAAATAAAATCTTAAAAAAAAAAAAAAAGAATGCTCTGTAAATTGTAAGCTGCTTTACAAACACAAGCAAGTGTTACTGTGCTAGAGTTCTGGAATTCTGATTCCAGCAGAGCCAAAGCCGCTGGCAATCCGTGGAACAGTTTAGCGATTTTCCTTTTGGTAAATAGATTTGGAGGGCCTCTTGCACAGCCCATGCAAGCCCTGGGGATGGAGTCGGGGTGAAGGCCCAGAGAGCCGGGATAGGATGAGCATCTGATGGAGAGTCACAGGTTACCCTGAAGATTAATTTTGACATGAAGATAAATAGATCCAATAAGATAGAAAGTAGCAGAGAACCTGAAAACAAACTATTTGCCAATAACAGGTTAAAAAAATTGCTACGTATTCAGAATAGCTCAGAAAAAATACATTTTATGTTGCTGACAATTTCTTGTAAATTTGAAGCTTATGATTGTTTATGCGCAGTTGAAGCTTATGGTCTGAGGACCCAGATGGGGTCCCGCAGGACCAGCCAAAAGTGTTCCTGGCTGCATGCAGGACAGAAAGCAAACATGAGCCAGCACGAGGGGAGAGCCATTTATTGAAGGTTTAGGGACAGTGCAGGGACAGACAGAGTGGGAGACTCAGAAAGGAAAGGAGGGAATCTCTCCTTTGTTTGAGGTCTGGAGTTTTTTAGTGGGAACTGTGGTCTAGTATATGTGTCCTCTCAGGCATCCAGGAACTGGTTAGAACAAAGACCAGGGCCCAGGGGTTCTGGAATATGCATCTGACGGCTTCATCGGGTCATTCTCACCGGGTCCTTCCTTAGGAGATACCTATTCTAAAAAAATCATTGACTTCTTATGCCTTCCAAGGAGGATATATACTTTTTGAGTTGTGAGGCATGTGTAAAGTGGGGGTGTGGTTCCTAGCAAGAATAGAAGCAGGATAAGGAGCAAAAAGGCATATTTTTATGGAGTCCTAGAGTTTCCCTCTCTCACAGTGTCTAACTGGAGCCTTGCAGTATCTCTGTGAGGTTGGCAAGGCAGGTGATATTCCCATGTTACAGAGGAGCAAACTGAGCCCACTAAGGGCTAAGAAAAATGCCTCAAATTCATATAACAAGTTTGTGGCCAAGCTGGAATTAGATTCTTGGTCTTCAGACTCCTCTTCTGCTCGTTCATTGAAAAAAGCACTCTGATCTTGAAACACCATAAAGACTTAGGATGTTGCCATTGAGAAAGGAAGGAATAGAATTATCTAGTGAAAATTCATGTAGTAAACAAGCGTAGAAATATTCTTTGACAGAACAATCAACAGAACATGGTGGGGCAGATAAAGAGGGAGAGAGTGAGTGAGAGCAAAGATGCCAAACTCTTAGACTTTGTTATGAGTCTGAGTGAGTTTCGTGCACTCATTAGAGTGGAAGATCTGCGGTCTTTATGAAGGGCCATACGTGTGCATTGACAGGAGCATTGCCAACACCCTATAGACATTCCCATTTCACCCTTCAGCTCTCGAAAGACTGGCAAGAGTGACAGGGACTGTTGCCGGTGGCCAAGCACGTGGAACAGCCAGTTGGGTGTACAGAGGGTGGACCCAACCCATCCAACTTCATCTCTCATCTCTGGAAGAGAGTGGGAATCTCACTCCAGCGAACTCTCCAAATGACACTCAGTGGAGTTGGCTGCCTGTGTTTGGGGGAAGAGGGACACAAACAGCAGGAATATAATCAGAAAAAAAAAATAGGAATGAACTTCTTCTTCCAATCAAAATACCAAGAACAATGACCTCAAAGAGATTTGTTTCAAAGGAAATAGACTCCGTCTGGCTTTCCTTCAGGCTTCTCTCACATTTGCTCTTGGCTCTACCTGGGATAAGCCATGGACACGTGAGAATGTGTTCATTTCCAAAGTTGTTTAGCCATTCCCTCCCACTTCACTCTCCATCTTGCTCATTCTTCAACTTCTACTCCCTGCCAGACAGAGAAAGTCTTCCAGGAAACCAGAGCTCTCTGGGAAGGAGGCTTTCATACCACACAAATGACTCACAACCCCCAGAAAGTGCTGTCTCCCCGTTCCTGGACCACTATGGCAACAGCAGTGTGGTTTTTTGCAAAAGGGCAAAAGCAATATCTTTTACTGTCTGGTGCTTTGTGGTTAAAAAAAAAAAATACATTCAATGTATATTCTTGATTGATTTTTCACATCAGCCATGAGATAGGGCTAAATGTTTTCTATCAAGGGTCCTGTGGTATATGACCTTGAGAGAGTCACTCATCTGTCTCCAGGTTCTGTTTTTTACACCCGGAAAATAAGGAAAGTGGTCACATGCTCTTCCTTCACCTTTGCATACAGAGCAATATTTTTAAAAATGTAGAATAAAGACCAAACTTTGCCCACTGCTTCCACTGGAAAGGGCAAGTTCTCCTGACAACTCTTTGTAATTATCAGGCCCTCTTACCTCTAAACAGTGGGATAATTAGGATGGAATGGCCCTGGAAACAGGAAGGACCTGGGAATAGTGCCAGACCAGAAACCAATGGAAGACATTACTACTACATTTAATAACAGCTACTCTTTATTGCAGATATATCATTTTTAAAACTGTGCCAAAAAATCACATACACTTTGGCACAAACAAGCAACCTTAATTTTGCAGGTAAGAAAACTGAGATTCGGAGAGATGAAACAAAACCTGCCTGAGCCTGCAATAGCCAGTAAGGGGCGGGACTGTGGTTTGCACTTCAGCCTGCTTCTCTTGAGAGCCCACACAGTTGTTTATCCTGCACACGTGCACCTTCTGTTGTTGCCGAAACAGTACCATCACCCAGAAATTCCCCCTGGCAGTGGTTGACCCTATTTCTGTTCTTGGTCTAGATATCTGGCCATTGTCCACCCGCTGAGACCCAGGATGAAGTATCAAACAGCCACTGGCTTGATTGCCTTGGTGTGGATGGTGTCCATCCTCATCGCCATCCCTTCTGCCTACTTCACCACCGAAACGGTCCTCATCATCGTTAAGAGCCAAGAGAAGATCTTCTGTGGCCAGATCTGGCCGGTGGACCAGCAGTTCTACTACAAGTCCTACTTCCTTTTCATCTTTGGCGTCGAGTTCGTGGGCCCTGTGGTCACCATGACCCTGTGCTACGCCAGGATCTCCCGTGAGCTGTGGTTCAAGGCGGTGCCGGGCTTCCAGACGGAGCAGATCCGAAAGCGCCTGCGCTGCCGCCGGAAGACCGTGCTGGTGCTCATGGGCGTCCTCACCGCCTACGTGCTGTGCTGGGCGCCCTTCTACGGCTTCACCATCGTGCGCGACTTCTTCCCCGCCGTGTTCGTCAAGGAGAAGCACTACCTCACCGCCTTCTACATCGTCGAGTGCATCGCCATGAGCAACAGCATGATCAACACTCTGTGCTTCGTGACCGTCAAGAACAACACCGTCAAGTACTTCAAGAAGATCATCCTGCTCCATTGGAAATCTTCCTACAATGGGAGTAAGTCCAGCGCAGACCTTGATCTTAAAACCACAGGGGTACCGGCCACCGAGGAGGTGGACTGCATCAGACTGAAATAACCTGATGGACCTTTCAAAGCTTAAACAAAGACCTTTGCGACATCGACGGGTGTCCTGGGATACAAACCATCAACCAAGAACCCTTGGTTTGCTGCAGAGGGCAGAGTGCATGGACGAGTGTGCGAACACCGTGCTCAAGGAGCTCAGCATTCCTAAACCTGATGTGACTGGATACCAGCACCAGTGGCCAACACTCACTGAAAGTCTCATTTGTACAGAGTAGGCACTGGTGAAACTTATGTATGTTGACAACATTTAATTGGCAGAAAGAAATAAGGATTAAGCCAAGAAAAATATTGGGGCATAGAAAGCCTGAAATGAGAGGCTCTCTGGAAGGGAACCCAAGTAGGCATCTAGGACTGTGGTACATGTGTTTATAGGGTGATGGTTTATCTGACCATCTCAGCTACTCATCAGGTACTGATGTAGCCCATATCTAGGATTGTCCTTAGGCTTGAGTTCACTCCTAACGTTTGTGGGGTTGGAGCAAGAATACAAAACAGGCTCCTAGTTCTTTCTTCGACCCTTTTATTCTCATCTCTGTTCCTGACTCTCACTGGGAGGACCCTTACATGCATGCACATGGACACCGCAATATGCATGGGCAAGTTCTGTCCAAACCCTCCTCCCCAGCACTGATCCATGGCTACCCCTTGGGCTTACAGCTGTGTCCATACATGGTGAGACTCATTATCAGGAGAAGCCACACAGACCCTGGAAGCCATTTGGTCAAGGTATTAAGGGGTTCTGGATATCTTGACTTATCCCAGGGAAGGCTTAGGCTCAGGATGAATATGTTCTCTTGGCTTCATGGACTTCTTGTCCCATGGGGAGAAGTGCAAATGGCAGAGCCCTGAAAGCCTGCACAGCTCAGGTCAGGAGCTCAGATTTTCGGGGTCAAAGGATGATACTGCTTCTACCTCTCAGTTATTCTGGCTTGGACCAATTAGGCTTCCTCCTAAATCCTTCTTTTCCTTCTCTTGTATCCATGCTTGTGAAACATAGAATCTTTGAAAGTAGACACAACACCTCATGGATACCGCTGTTGGCCATTTTCCATTTCCACCAGCTCTCACCCTCATTGTCACAATGTGAGAGCAAGATGTGTTCGTCACGAGTGCCCAAAGTCCATCACAGTTATTAATCCTTTGGATTAAGACTTGTTTTTCTTTTAAAATGGATATACCCTTGGGCATATCTGCCATATACCTGCCATATTTCTACTCCTCAGTGTAAATGAAGCCATGTGATCTAGTGGCAGATGGTGAAGGTTGGTGGTACAGCCCTGGGCACCCAAGAAAGATGGGGACATACAAATGGGTGGTCGGTGCCCAAAGAGATTCAGTGACTCCACAGACTTATGGAGGGCTCATCCTACTTTCTAACGCACCTTCGTTGTTCGGTGTTTCAAATTTTGGAATTTGAACTCGTGGAACCAGAAGATCTGATCCAGCCTCGGCTCTGTCCCCTGTGTGACCCTTGGTAAAGCTTCTCAAAGGGACAAAGATAATACCTGTGATAGCTCCTAATGAGGGGGTTGTGAAGAATCAATGAGATAATATGTGGGTAAACTCTTCAGCCATATGAGTCATCAAAGGAATGGACGAATAACTGTGTGTAATGTGCCTGACAAGGAAAAACTTGTCACCTTGGCTTATGTATCTAGAAATTTGAACCATCTCCCACTTTTTATTAATTATTGTGTGAATTAGTCCTTTACCTCTTTTTGCCGTGTTATATGTGTTACATTCCTAACACATGCTGGTACAACAAGGCAGTGAAATTTGGTGGTAAAAGTGTAACAGGAAGTGGTAGAGTGTCTCCAGTCAGAAGATGAGCTCAGGGTTTTAGGAATTTCAGAATCAGACTATCTTTAAAATCATGGAAGTGTTGGCCATGTTCCTGTGCCTTTTCCCAGCCAGCATGAATCTGGGCAATGTGATATTATTTCTCAATCTTTTTTTACTGTCATGAGTATGTGTACCTAAAGAGTAGACGTGTTCTTTTCCTCTCAAAGAATTCTAGAGTAGTACATTTCTAAGGCTATTTAACTGACACTCGTATGGCGTTTCCTCCCCAAATATAGTCAACTCTTGATTTTTGGCAGCAAAATTCATTTTTTAAATAGTTACTTTATTTCCCTGGAAGACCCATTCAGAAACTTATTTATTTCTTCCTATTAATTATCCAGCAGACTTATTCTACAGTGTAATGGGAATGCTCTCAGAGAATAAAAACTGATTAAACTATTAGCCCAAATCCAACATACCTTGGAAGGCAATTCTTATTTCTTATAAAATTACATATTACATTCTAAAATTGGGAAAGTTAGCTTTAGACCAAAAAATAATAAAAGGACATAATTTGTTGTTGTTCTGTTCACCTTTTCCATTAGAAATTCTAAGCAAGAATCGATGGTAAAATAGGAGATTTTTATATGTGACAACCAAACTTCTTTTTGCTTTTCAGCCTAGAACGTATCAACTTTTCACTTGCTGAGCCGTCTGTAATATTTTTAGATGTTGTGTCTGCTTGTGAATTTACAGTGAATGAAAGTGTTGTGTTGTGATCAAACAAAATAAAAAAAAGGTACATATATAATCACAGACCATAGTGCGCCTGTAATTTTCACCCCTCTTTCCCACCCCCTTCTCAGTTACGGTGTGGTGCTTCTTTCAGTGAGCACTGAATAGAGGCTGATTCCATGATCACAGCAATTGTGAGAACAGTACTAATTTATACCCCTTTTGCCTTCAAACCTCTCTTCTCTGTCCTAAGAAATCCTAAGAGATTTCACTGATTTAGGTCTTCTTCCTATAAGTCTGCTCTGGTAAAACCATTAATGCTTTTTAGCATCTGAATGCCAAGACTTGAAATCTGAGGACCTGTTTATGCCTCTTACATAAGCTAAGGCTAACCCTTTGAATAGGCTTAATGTCTCTGCATACGAGAAACTGACCAGGAGATGAACCTAAGATTCTACCCCAGGTTCAGATGAGTGGCTGACTCACTGAACTGAGTAGTAGCCTGCTCAGCTGATGTTCTCTCCAAAAACTGGAGGTGAGCCCGACAAGGTGACACTGGTGATTATGTGTTCTGCTGCCATTCTCTACGTACTTTCAATATGCAAAGAGATGTGCATGTCGTCATATACAGAAGGATAGAGATGTGATTTTAAAAAATCAAACTATTTCCTTAACCAAAGCAGAAGAGAAGGGCAGATTTACAACAAAGCTTTTGGAAATTTTGCCTAATGATTACTCATTTTAAAAATAATTTTTTTAAGACACTAAAACTGGGGAGCCTGGGTGGCTCAGTCAGTTAAGCATCTGCCTTCAGCTCAGGTCATGATCTCAGGGTCTTGGGGTCGAGTCCCATATTGGGCTCCCTGCTCAGCGGGGAGCCTGCTTCTCCCTCTCCCTCTGCCTCTCCCCCTGCTGTGCTCTCTCTCTCTCTTTCCCTCTCTCTCTTTAAAATAAATAAAATCTTAAAAAAAAAAAAAAGGACGCTAAAACATGTCAAGGTGATCATCACCATGGCAAGCCTTCAAGCGAGAAACAAGTTCCATGCTTACGGAAAAGAATGCTAGAGAATTTGTGAGATGGCCAGAAAATTCTAAGTATGAATCCTGTTTCTTGAAACATCTGATACGCTTTGGAATGTATCCACAAAGAATGAGTTCAGTTCTTCTACCTAGAGTGTTAGTGAGAATATTATATTAAATTCATCAAATTCATTTATGGTTGGTGAAACTGAAACCCAGAATGGAGAAGAGAGGTTCATAACTGGTCTCATAACTGGTCACCAGGACAGCCAGGATTAGATGCCAAGATCCCCAAAGCTTGGTGCAGGATTTTTCTACCCCAGCCTTCATGGATGCAGGAAGCATCAATTTCGGAAGGGAAGGATCTTTTCCAGGAATCCTTGAGATGACTAGTCAGCTTCAGTAAGACCCTCTCTGGAGACCCTTAAGAAGTTAAGCAGAAACATTCCTGGTTCTTTTGCAAGCCAAATTTAACTCATCTTACTCCCAGGAGCTCACAGCACAGACAGGGAGATCAGGTGGTTTTAAGGGAAGAACTGCTGAAGACTGTTTACCACTGCTCTTTCTTCACATGGCCCAACTTAGGGTGCCTAGGAATAGAAAAGGAAACATACCAGGCTGCTCATGAGCACGGCCGCCCTGCCCTAGCAAAGCAGAAGCGAGAAAGAAGCCATGTTTTTCTGAGGGCGGGCCTCTGCGTTCAGGGTTCCTTGGCATCAGAACCTACCTCCAGCCGCTGGTGAGGACAGAGATGCGGAAGCATTCTGGATGAGAGGGGACTTTAACTGGACAAGCGGAGTGCAGAGAAGCAAGAGGAAGAATGCTCTACAGAAGAGAAATGTCTGTTTCACCTGCTTCTGGAAACAGAAATTGACTTTTTCCGGGTTGGGGTTGGGGATGGGGGTAGATTTCTCACACAATGAAGAGATTGTCATCCCTGGAACAGGTAACCAAAAAACTGAGAAACACAGGGACATAAGGAGAGACAGAAACTAGCCTCCAGAAACAGGTCTGTATGATGGGGTGAGGGGACGCTGCTCACAATGGGAAGACACTCAGTGAAGGACTAGGGAAGGGGAAGCTGGCAGACACAAATGTGGCTGATGGAACACTAACAGCCAGGGGGATCCACCATGTGTGTGTGTGGGAGGATCCAAGCAGGGCACTGGGATATCTCACTGCATCCTCACAGCCGCCCTCCCAGCCCGAAGGACACTCATTTACAGATGAGGAAATCAAGTCTCCACTCGGGGTGGTGGTGGGCGGGTGGCGGGTGGTGGTGGCTCAGGAACAAACGAGGAGTGAATGGTGCTCTGAGATTTGAACCCAAACCCATGCTTTGATCTCACCACGCTGCAGCCTCTAAAGGGTTTTCCTCCCTCTTCATTGTGTTTTCTATAAAACCAGATAAATGCCTCTCTCCGTGAGGGCAAACATGAAGTGATAAATCATCTCCTAATCTAACTAGAGCTGTCTCAAAAACTGAGAACAGCACCCTCCCAGCTTTGTTTTTCCTTCTGTGAAAAGTTTTGCTCACCCTCAACAGCTGACCCTAATATTTAATGTTAGGACAATAAATGTCCTTAACATTTGGTGTCATGGGTGCCTCTGGAATTTAGTGGGACTAGAGCCTCTTCTCAGAATAATGTTTTCAAATTTATTTGAAAATATGCTAATGAAATGCTAATAAAATAAATTATATAGAAATGTTATTAAAATATATTTATTTATTTGAGAGAGAGAGTGCACACAAACGGGGTTTGTTGAGCAGGTTCCCTGCTCAGGGGAGGGGCTCCATCCCAGGAGCCCGAGATCATGACCTGAATCATAGGCAGATGCTTAACCAGCTGAGCCACCCAGGTGTGCTGTGATTAAAATATTTTTTAAAGTTTATGACAAAATGGTATAAATCTTTACATCAGATTACTTTTTTTTTTTAAGATTTTATTTATTTATTTATTTGACAGAGAGTTCACAAGTAAGTAGAGAGGCAGACAGAGAGAGAGGAGGAAGCAGGCTCCCCACTGATCAAAGATTCTAGGATCCTGGGATCATGACCTGAGCCTAAGGCAGAGGTTTTAACCCACTGAGCCACCCAGGTGCCCCTAAATCAGATTTCTTTATATTAAATCTTTATTTAATGCCTCGAACAATAAGATTTAGCATCAGGGCTAACAACTACCATGATTTTGAAGTAGTGATGAACGGGAATGAGTTTTTAGGTCTTTACCCTAATTGCAATGTGACATAAAATATCTGTGATCTCTCCTGGGGACACTTCAGGGACTGCTGAGACCAGAGTGGCTTGCTGTCTGTGTCATAATGGCAGGGGAGGATCAAGCTTGGTTATAGGTTAGTGAGAATAACAATGAATTTTTCCCCCATGCTCCTAGCTCTTGACCTGGTTAAGAAGATCTTCCCTGAAGAAGGCCAAGGCAAGCACAGCCTGGAGTGGGTAGCATGGAGATTGCAGGAACAGGCACACCCTTTTAAATGGAATTAAATCAGTAGATCTTCACTGGATGTTCTTCTTGTGAAGACACCTCTGTAGGCATTGGGGTTCACCGACTCTGCCCTGTGCCTTCTCGGTGCCTCCAAACCTCATCCGTGTGACAGATTCCTCTGAGAAACCAGACAAGGTCTCTCTTTATAGCACGGAGATTCAGGACCCTTCTACACAATTATGTAACAAACATTTATTGTCCTAGGTTGTGATGTTACAAAAATGAATGACACAGTGCTAGCCCTCATCTCATAATGATCCGACTTCAGGAGATAGGACGTTTTGGTTGTTGAGAAGTGCAAGGGAAAATCCTATAAGCACAGCATTGCAGATTTCTTGTCAAGTTGCCTGCTTTGCTCTTGTTTCTTTTGTTACTTTCCGTTGTTGTTTTGTCATGCTTTCCTCCCTTTAATATTTTGGTCTTTTCTTATCTTGAGTTGAACATACACATGTTTTTATTATTTCTGTGTCACTTTAAGGGAGCGAGTTTCCTTTGAACAGAGCTTAACTCTTGGTTGGACATGCAGAACATCCTGAGCTCTGAAATACACGTTTTTATTTCATCATTTTTGGTATGTGTATCTCTTGGGTCACAGTTTCTGTATTCTCCTTACGTATTTAAAATTCCCAGGATTTGTTGTTTTCCTTCCTTTCCCATGATATTTATTTCTTTCAGAGTAGACTATTCAGTTTTCTTTCGCAGGCTCTAGTCTTTTTTCGTTCTTTCTTCTTTATTTCTTTCTTTCCTTTTTTTTTTTTAAAGTCATTTGACAGGGACACCTGGGTGGCTCAGTGGGTTAAAGCCTCTGCTTTTGGCTCAGGTCAGGATCACAGGGTCCTGGGATTGAGACCCAAATCGGGCTTTCTGCCCCATGGAAAGCCTGCTTCCTCCTCTCTCTGTCTGCCTCTCTTGCCTACTTGTAATCTCTGTCTGTCAAATAAATAATAAAATCTTTTTTTTTTTAAATTTTTTATAAACATATATTTATTTTTTCCCCAGGGGTACAGGTCTGTGAATCGCCAGGTTTACACACTTCACAGCACTCACCATAACACATAGCCTCCCCAATGTCCATAACCCCACCCCCCCAACCCCCCTCCCCCCAAATAATAAAATCTTTAAAAATAAATAAATAAAAAATAAAAAGTCATTTGACAGTTTCTTTTTTTTTTTTTAAGATTTTATTTATTTATTTGATAGAGAGATCACAAGTAGGCAGAGAGGCAGAAGCAGGCTCCCCACTGAGCAGAGAGCCTGAGACGGGACTCGATCCCGGGACCCTGAGATCATGACCTGAGCTGAAGGCAGAGGCTTAACCCACTGAGCCACCCAGGTGCCCCTATTCTTGTTTTCTAAATTGAAGTATAATTAACATACAGTGTTATATTTGTTTCAAGTGTACAATATAATGATTTGACAGTTTTATAGATTTCTCATGCTCATCAATGTAAGTGTATTCTTTTTTTTTTTTACTTGTAGCATTTCTTTTTTTTTTTTTAATTTTATTTTTTATAAACATATATTTTATTTTTTATAAACATATATTTTTTC